AAGATTGGCTTACTATGATTGGTTCGAGTCCCTCGCATGGCAAAATTGTTATCGAAATTAATATATAGCAGAGTTATGACCGTATCTTTGCTCTGAAGAGATAAATTTCCACAGTTATATTGAAGGATTTTTCGTATGTTTACAAAATTATAGCGAGGAATCTATTCTTCACAAAATTCGAGACATTTTAAACAGAACTAAACGTCGTCAACGTCGTTGTTATGGTCAATATCAGCATGTTGTTCAGCATTATTTAGCAAACCTCCTACATACATATATACTGTTAAGATGACCGAGTCAGATCATAAGAAAGCGTATCAAGAATATTGGAACGAAAAAAGCAAACTTTTAGAACAGTTGTAATATATTTTGCCATAAAAAATAAATATGTTTTTATCAAATATGCGGTCGTTATATACGTTGCTATGTGTTGCCAGTCATTAGCGACGCTTGGGTGCATGCATATATTAAAAGTACAAAATATTTGTACGCCAATCAGGCGGGCGGGTTAAGCAAATCGCGCGGGTGGTAAAGAGCGGGCTTTGCAGGCAAAAGTTTGCACAAGATTTCAGTTTTAAAATACATTTATTTCTTCAAAACGTTTTACAAAATTTAGTACGGTCTACTTCTAAGAGCGTAACGTCTAGGTGTTCTTGTGATCTTTAAAGAGTTCTCGGCTATCTTCTGGGGATAACTTTGTTACTTCCTTGGGTTTCATAGGAATATATTTTGACCTTTCGCAATAAACATGTTTTAAACTTTGCAAATGTTGTGTCGTTATGCGTTGCTAAGTCTTTAGGCGATAAGGAGATGATTAAGGAATTACGCGAACAAAAATTTTCATAACTATATATGTGTATCCCAATGGATAGATAGGGATTGTCTATTACGCAGGTGTATGCCTTAAAATCAGGTGCTAGGCTCTGCAGGTATAAATATTAGGCAAAAATTCACTTTGCAACGCAATTGTAAAGTAAGCTAATTGTAACGTACATAAATTCGAAATAGAGACTTTGTTACGTTAGAACGTTCTACATGGTGGAATAATAATCCTCTCGCTATATTGATATGTACGACACAACTTAGCCTCGGAGCCGAGCTCGAATGTTTCGGAATCCTTATCTTTATCTTCTTATTTTCCTTATCTTTATCTTCTTATTTTCCTTATCTTAATCCTCTTATCTTCCTTATCCTTACCTTTATCTTCTTATCTTGCTTATTTTTATCTTTATCTTCTTATCTTCCTTATCTTTATCTTCTTATCTTCCTTATCTTCATCTTCTTATCTTCCTTATCCTTATCTTTATCGTCTTATCTTCCTCATCCCTATCTTTATCTTCTTATCTTCCTTATCCTTATCCTTATCTTTATCTTCCTTATCCGAGCCGAGCTCCATAGGCTCCGAGCAGAGGTTCCCTAGGCTCGGAGCCAGCTCCATAGGCTCCAAGCCGAGCTGCGAGTCTAAGTTGTGTTGAACATATCAATATAGCGAGAGGATATATTATTAAGGATAAGGAAGATAAGAAGATAAATGTAAGGATAAGGATAAGGAAGATAATGATAAGGAAGATAAGAAGATAAAGGTAAGGAAGATAAGAAGATAGAGATAAGGATAAGGAAGATAAGAAGATAAAGATAAGGAATACAAGAAGATAAAGATAAGGAGAAGGAAGTTAAGAAGATAAAAATAAAGAAGATAAGAAGATAAAGATAAGAAAGATAAGAAGATAAAGATAAGGAAGATAAGAAGATAAAGATAAGGATAAGGATAAGGAAGATAAGAAGATAAAGATAAGAAAGATAAGAAGATAAAGATAAGGAAGATAAGAAGATAAAGATAAGGATAAGGAAGATAAGAAGATAAAGATAAGAAAGATAAGAAGATAAAGATAAGGAAGATAAGAAGATAAAGATAAGGATAAGGAAGATAAGAAGATAAAGATAAGAAAGATAAGAGGATTAAGATAAGGATAAGGCAGATATATAAAGATAAGGATTCCGAACCATTCGAGCTCGGGTCCGAGCCTAAGTTGTGTTGAACATATCAATATAGCGAGAGGATTATTATTCCACCATGTAGAACATTCTAACAAAGTCTCTATTTCGATTTTGTGTACGTTACAGTTAGCTTACTTTACAATTACGTTGCAAAGTGAATTTTTGCCTAATATTTATACCCGCAAAGCCTAGCACCTGATTTTAAGGCATACACCTGCATAATAGATAATCCCTATCTATCCATTGGGATACACATAGTTATGAAAATATTTGTTCGCGTAATCCTTTAATCATCTCCTTATCGCCTAAAGACTTAGCAACGCATAACGACACAACATTTGCAAAGTTTAAAACATGTTTATTGCGACAGGCCAAAATATATTCCTATGAAACCCAAGGAAGTAACAAATTTATCCCCAGAAGATAGACGAGAACTCTTTAAAGATCACAAAAACACCTAGACGTTACGCTCTTAGAAGTAGACCGTACTAAATTTTGTAAAACGTTTTGAAGAAATAAATGTATTTTAAAACTGAAATCTTGTGCAAACTTTTGCCTGCAAAGCCCGCTCTTTACCACCCGCGCTATTTGCCTAACCCGCCCGCCTGATTGGTGTACAAATATGTTGGACTTTAATATATGCATGCACCCAAGCGTCGCTAATGACTGGCAACACATAGCAACGTATATAACGACCGTATATATTTGATAAAAACATATTTATTTTTTATGGCAAAATATGTTACAACTGTTCTAAAAGTTTGCTTTTTCCCTTCCAGTATTCTTGATACGCTTTTTTATGATCTGACTCGGTCATCTTAACAGTATATATGTATGTAGGAGGTTTGCTAAATAATGTTGAACAACATGCTAACATTGACCATAACAATGACGTTGACAACCATGTTTACCTGGGATTAGCAACTGTTTAGTTCTGTTTAAAACGTCTTGGTTTTTGTGACGAATAGATTCCTCGCTATAATTTTGTAAAGATACGAAAAATCCTTCAATATACCTGTGGAAAATTTATCTCTTCCGAGCAAAGATGCGATTATAACTCTGCTATATATTAATTTGGATAACAATTTTGCCATGCGAGGGACTCGAACCAATCATAGTAAGCCAAAGTTAATCCCTCTGCTGTATCACACACGTGGAGGGACGCTCAAAAATGCCTAGTCAGCAAGTTTTGTCCGATTTCGCCTGAGCATGCCCGCGTGACGTCATACAAAGGTTAAGTGAACACACCCACGTGAGATCCACCACCTCACTCTATGCTAATGATGAATTTTTAATGAAGCGCCGCCCTTACGCACCCTCACGCACCCTTACGCACCCTCATTTGTATGAATGTTAATCAGCGCACACTTAGCACCTTACGCACCTTAAAAAGGGGGGTCGAACGGTCTCTATATTACTACTTGGGAATATTTTGTAATCTGGAAATTTTTTGACAATGTAGACACATGGTGACAAAGTGTTTGTGATGAAAATGTCTTCTGTAGTAAGTCAACTTTTGTTCCACATATCCAAGAAATTGTGTGGTTGTGCACACTTTTTTGCAGTTGTGAAAACTCACAACTGCAAAACCTTGGCTCTACCTTTAAGCCTGAAAAGCACAATAGACATGCTTATGTCTCTTTCTTAATGGTTCTATTTCGTATGCCTTCCATTGGGGGATTTGCCATTCTACATTGATATGCCTTTATGCATGTACATTGTTTTTTCGCATGTGTTATAGGTTAAGACAACCATAACTGAATTGGCTATAGCATTAACAAGATCAAATATGCCACATTTAATGGCATGTAGTAAAACACTGACTACCGGAACACCGGCGGTGTTCCGTTGTTCCGGTGGTGTTCCGTTGTTCCAGTGGTGTTCCGTTGTTCCGGTGGTGTTCCGGTGTTCCGGTGGTGTTCCGGTGATCCGGTAGTCAGTGTTTTACTATATGCCACATTTAATATCTACGCAATTCACTACTGACAATTAGTGAAAAATTTTATATGTACATTAGTATATAGACGTTTATATGCCTTTATGCATGTACATTGTTTTTTCGCATGTGTTATAGGTTAAGACAACCATAACTGAATTGGCTATAGCATTAACAAGATCAAATATGCCACATTTAATGGCATGTGGTAAAACACTGACTACCGGAACACCGGCGGTGTTTCGTTGTTCCGGTGGTGTTCCGTTGTTCCGGTGGTGTTCCGTTGTTCCGGTGGTGTTCCGTTGTTCCGGTGGTGTTCCGGTGTTCCGGTGGTGTTCCGGTGATCCGGTAGTCAGTGTTTTACTATATGCCACATTTAATATCTACGCAATTCACTACTGACAATTAGTGAAAAATTTTATATGTACATTAGTATATAGACGTTTTTGCTTATAATATACTGTTACATATATCATTCTAACAGTCTACACTATTGCCTGTCCCTATAACCTTCATTTACTAGAACCTTCATTTACTAGAACATGATTTTTCCCTACCAGGCCGCCTTACTTCAATTCATCGTGGACAACGTAATTTAAATAATATTATTCAAATTAACATTAATGCAAATACCAAACCAGTTGATGCTATTACCAATTTTCAAAATACTAGGCTCAAAATCGCTCATCTTAATATCCGTTCACTTAAAAGCAATACACATCTTACCCAACTCAGAGATTTGGCGCGTAGAGAAAATTTTGACATTTTAACAATATCTGAAACATGGCTTAACACTAGTGTTTCGTCTGCCGAAGTAAGGATAGACGGATATAATCTTTTCAGATTGGATCGTCTTACTAAACGCGGCGGTGGTGTATGCACGTACGTTCGCAAAGAACTTAAATCATCTGTTTTAAAATCCTTAACTTTCATTTCCGAAGAAAATTTCCATCAACTATGGATAAATGTCCAGTGCCAGAAATCTAAGTCGCTCATAATTTGTGTAGCCTACCGACCACCTGACTGCCCTCTGCACTGCTTTGAACATACATTAAAACCAAATTACATGGAAGCTCTTCTATTAAACAAACCAATCGTGATCCTAGGTGATCTAAATTGTGATGGATTAAAGGATAATTGTGTAGAATATAAAATTATGGATAGATTTTTAAATGAAATGAACCTCACTCAACTTATTAAATCGCCAACGAGGATCACTGATGCAACTCAATCATTGCTAGATGTTATCCTAGTGTCGTCGAAGTCAATAGTGTACCGAAGTGGAGTATTGCTTACATCAATCAGTGACCATTTACTTGTGTACGCTGAACTTAAGATTAAGTCTCCTAAGCAACCTTCGCAATACATTACAGCACGTAGCTTTAAAAATTATGTACCGAATTATTTTGCAGCTGATCTTGCGGACAAATCAGATTGTCTCCTATCTATTTTTGACGGCGACGATGTAAATGCTAAACTAAACATTTTTAACCATGCGATCCAGTCTACACTAGACGTTCATGCTCCAATTAAAACAATTAAGATCCGTAACCGACCATGCCCATTTATTACCCAAGACCTCAGAAACCTTATGAAAGAGAGAGATCGATTACATCAACGATTTCTACGTACGCGGGATATTATAGACTGGGTCAATTATAAGAGCTACCGGAATAATGTGAAGAGAGATCTTAAGAAGGCGGAGAATGAGTATAACTCTAATGAAGTACGGCAACATAAAGATAATCCGGGGTCTCTATGGAAAATAGTAAACCGTCTTACACCATCAAAAGGAAAAGAAAGACAAATCTATAAAGGAGACCATAAATCTCTTGCAAATGATTTCAATCAGTTTTTTTCATCGGTTGGTGAAAATGCAGCAAGGGCGTCTTCTCATCTAGCAGATACTAACAACATCAATCTACGAAAATCAATCGAATCAGTCGTTATAACTGAAATCGACCAATTTAAGTTTAGAGCCGTAACTTGCCACGAAGTACGTCGAGTAGTTTTATCGTTACCTCTCAATAAATCATCTGGTCCGGATAAGATTAACCCACGGATCATAAAAGACTGTCTTCCGGTCATTTTGGGTCCTTTAACGGAAATTATAAATTGTTCCCTTCGTACTTCTACTTTTCCTCTGGCATGGAAAAAGGCAGAACTTATTCCTATTCATAAAGAAGGTGACCACGAGGTACCCTCAAATAATTGACCAGTTTCCCTTCTTGTAGTCGCATCTAAAATCTGTGAAAGATTAGCTCTTGAGCAATTTAGCTGTTACCTAACAAGCAACAACCGACTATCCTCCCACCAAAGTGGAAATAAAAAACTTCACTCGACAGAGACATTAAACGTTTTTATCACTGACACCATCTTAAAGGTCATGGATAAAAAGAAACTCTCAGCTCTAGTGTTGCTTGATCTCTCAAAAGCATTTGACAGTATAAACCATCAGAGATTACTTCATAAACTATCAAATGTCGGAGCATCCAAATCAACAGTAAACTGGTTCAGAAGCTACTTAACAGACCGTTTCCAATCAACCCGTATTAACTCTACGTTATCAGATCCATTACCGATAACTTATGGTGTACCTCAAGGGGCCATTTTATCGCCATTGCTCTTTTGTATATACCTTAACGATCTACCCTGTGCATCTTACAATGGTGATCTTGAATCATACGTTGATGATACGAAAACTTTGTTATCGTTTCCTTTAACGGAAGCTGACACTGGAATTAAAAATCTGGAAGAAGACCTACATAAAATTGCGTCTTGGTGCCGTGAAAACAATCTTTTGGTGAATCCAGATAAAACAAAATTCATGATCATTGGAACCAGGCAGCTGATGAACGAACTTGATGTCAATATTTCGATCTCTTTTATGGGGAAGATTCTAGAACCTGTTGATTTTGCCAAAGATCTAGGACTTCTAATGGACAGTCACCTAAGTTACGATAAGCACATATCGAATCTAGTGTCGTCCTGCCTTTATAAACTGTGCCAGATAAACAGAGTTAAAAATAATTTTGACAAGGGAACACTTACAATGATAATCACTTCATTAGTGATCAGTAAACTGCTCTACTGTTCCACTGTGTGGTCAAATACAACATGCACTAATATAAAGAAACTTCAATCTATTCAAAACTTTGCATGTAAAATAATCACAGGATCCAAGAAATACGATCATGTAAGCCCATTACTCCAAAATCTTGAGTGGCTCACAGTTGACAAATTACTCTATTTCCGTGATGCCGTAATGACTTTTAAATGCATGAACAACTTAGCGCCGAAATATCTTTGTGACATGTTTGAGAAACGATCTTGTATTCATAATCGGTCTACGCGGAACTGCAACTCAATACAGATACCATTGTTTAAAACAGCGGCAGGGCAACGGTCATTTGCTTTTAGAGGAGCTTCAATTTGGAATAACTTAGACACTGAGCTAAAGAAATGTACATCACTTAAGACATTTAAAAGTCAACTTAAAGAACACTTACTGTCTACTTAGACTATAGACTACTTCCTATTTTAGACTATTAAAAACTTAGATATCAGTCATTTTTATTCCTAATTTGTAGAAACTGTAAATATTTTAAAATTGTAGTTTTATAAAATAATTTTGTAAATGGGTTCTGAAAAACCCTTTTGGGAGAAACCATTAATTTTAATAATAATAATAATAATAATAATAATTTACCAACACGATATAACCACGGTTAATAGAAGGAGGATGGTTAGGCTAGCTGAACCACGTGACAAATCAGGCATTAAAATAGCGTGTCCTTGTACACACATTGTGTCCTTGTAAAAGGCGAATGTGCCCTTGTAAATTGAAAAGTGTGTACTTGAAAATATATTAAACAGAAAATATATTAATGTAATCCACGCAAAATGGCCAAATATTTTCCAAATCTGTTCTCAGAACACTGGAAATGCCATTTCAGAGACCCCCTTAAAAGCTCTCGTCTTCGACGCTAAACTTGTGGCTTCGCCACTCGTTCTCGTGAGTCAGCGCATTTATACCAATAATACGCCTCTGAAGGCAAAGTGTGTCCTTGTAAAAATTCCGTATTTTAATGCCTGTGACAAATATGTTATTGTTCTCATTTTATTCACGTAACGAGATAGTGGGACGCTTCGCAGGAGTGTAATAGAAAATATATTGTTGGCTTTT